AAACAGATGTGTCAGACTCTGTAGTATCTTTTATCTCAAGCTCACCGGGATATATCGTATCGACATAAGAATGGAAATAACCATTGTTAATTGACAATACATCGTCTATATATCTAAATGTCGAGTTGAAGGCCACAGCAAATGTTTTCTTCTTTTCACGTATAAGGTTTTGGACAATTTCTGCTTCATATGAATACAAAAAAGGTCTGCTAATAACGGGGCGCAATTGGTACCCATGGGAATTCCAATAGATTTTGGAAGACGTGGTCTCCAAAAATCACATAGATATTGTCAATCAGAAACTCGTGCATCTTTTTAATGTCAACTTCAGAGTACTTGTGTGTACAATCAGAATGTTTTTAACAAAATAATTTTGCAAATGACCAATGACAAGGTAAGTAAATTTACGAGTTCCATTTTTATTGAAAAAGCAGCTGTCAATGATATCAAAAAGCCTGGACTTTAATTTATCGTGGGGAATGGTTTTGTATAAAGTTGAAAAGTCGTAAGTTTTTAAGCTGTTGATTTTGGTAAAATCTTGTGATTTCAAATTTTTCAAAAGTTCCTTGGAATTTTTTAGTATTCACATCTGATTTACACCACTTCTCGAATATATTGTTCCACAGTACTCTTGAAGTTTCTCCTTCACTACTCTTAATATCTTAGTGAGGAGTAAAGAAAGAGGCTAGGTTGAACATTTACTTTAACCCGCTATGTATCTTTGTTTGTAAGGATTTTTATGAAGTTTCGGAATCCAATATAGATATGGTATTTCCAATTCATTTTGGTTGTTTGAAATACTAAAAATATTAAAAACTGACATCTGATTTTGACGAATTTCTTCTTAAGAAAGGGAACTATGAGTGTGAGTTGAATTACCACTTGTATAATTAAATCCAAGTTCCTCTAAAATACATTTAACATAATGAGCCTTAGAAACAAAGACAATGTTGTTACCTACTTTGTCAGCAGGGACCAGTACGTACTGATCATGTAATCTATCTAATTCTTTTTTACTTCTGGATTATTGAATACAGAAGGATGGATGGTTCTCATATAGGCCCTCAATCTTTTAATGCGCGATTTTAACATACATCTGATACATTTAATCCATTCTGACAAAGTGTCAAGATCTTCTTTTTCATGTCTGGCCAATCGCCTGGCGTAATCCTCTACAGAATCCATAATATAGATGAAATTCCGACGCCAGTTGAAGGATCGGGTTTCCCTATATTTAGGATCTTTTAAAATTAATGATCTAAGGTCCTCATTATTAACTATATTTACGTCACCTGTAATAACGTGTCCAGCAGGACTATAGTTATAGGATGATGAAGAACATGAACACGATGGAGGAGTATGTTTCAGATATTCGATATCCAGGCCCTGTAAAGTTTTCTTGTAATTAAAAAGTTTAGAAGCAAAAGTCGATGTATATTTGTAGGAAATACAAGGTGTAGTCTTTAACTTGAAATATGGTGGAATACAAGACTGGACCCTTTTGTGATTAAGAATATTACTTATATTAACCTCGTCAATTCCTTTATTGGCATATTGAAGTTTAAGGAAAAAACGGATTGTTTTAGCTGCATTTTCTCCCGTAAAACGTAGGGGCTTAAAAAGCTTATGATTTGCAAAATCCATAATCACAGATCCAAGCCTATATTCTACTGTCGAGTAATCAAAAAATGGACTTTCCTTCACCTTTTCAAGGAGACTATTTAAAAGTTTCAAAGGGACAGAATAAAGTTTGGTCCAAATATGATGTAGATCTTGCTGTTGATTTACGTAAGGTAGTAATGAATCAATAGAGACATCGTGTATTAAAGGTTTATTGTAAGATCGATGCCCATGACTACGCTTAGGTAACAATGTATGTTACAGTGTAATACAAGCATCCATTGTAAAAATTCCACTGAAACCCCAAGTGGAAATAAATTGCTTAATTAAAAATTCAGGCTTAAAACGAATAACACGAAACAATAAAATATTCATTATTTGAGATAAAACTTACACATAAAACAATGTTAATCTCTCGTATTAGCAATAAATCCATTATTTTTAAAATCGAAGCAGAAATTAAAACAAGTCGTCTGTTTGAAATTCGGGAATGGAATGCAGAAAATCTGACGTCACGAAACTAGTTTTCCGCTATGAAATAACTGAAATTTTCGTTTTCTGACTAGCGATCCACAAAATTAATATGAAGTCAAGTCGAAAGTAATTCTGGTGACAAATTGAAATAATGACGATTTTGATTAGATGAACAATGATGCATACAGTATAAAGTGGATTTTAAGATTTCTTGTGACTTTTATACCCCATGCAAATACGTAGGTACCCGAGAATTACTTGTTTACAGTTTATTTCACACATAATATGTTCCGCCAAAAATCTCAGGAGGAACGAGCTCGTTAGAAAATGGCCTTCGGATGTAAGAGTCCGAGGTATATAAGGAGCGTAGGAACGTTAACCGAGGCTATTCCACGTAGGAGTACGTCACGGTAGCTCAGTCGGTAGAGCACTCGTTCCGTGATTGGAAGGTCAAATCAAGGCCGCGACTGACCTAAGTCGTTAAAACAGTTAGCAACTGTTCCTTCTCCAAGCGCTCGGCACTTTGAAGTGAAGGTTTCGGGATGAGACCTTAAAAACCAAGGCCCCGTGTCAAGGAAGGCGTTGGCACGATAAAGACCTCACTGCTCAATGGCCGAGTAAAGGTCTTCACCGGTATAGGATGACGTCTCTGTAAAAAAAATTCGGGACGTAAAAGAGTATAAAATCAATAAATCAATCAAAAATAGGTCTGCTGACAAGGGGGCGCTATTGGTACACATGGAAATTTCTAACAGATTGTTGAAAGACCTGATCCCCAAAAACCACATAGATATTGTCAATCAGAAACTCTCAAGCATCTTTTTAATATCAACTTAAGAGTACTTGTGTGTACAATCAGAATGCTTTTTAACAAAATATTTTTGCAAGTGACTAACGACAAGGTAAGAATATTTCCGAGTTCCAGTTTTATTGAAAAAGCGGCTGTCTATGATGTCAAAAAACCTGGACTTCAGTTTATCGTGGGAAATGGTTGTATAAGGTTTTGAACAGTCGTATGTTTTGGTGTTATTGATTTAGGTAAAATTTTGTGATTTCAAATTTTCTAAAAGTTCCTTGGATTTTTTAAATATCCACAACTGATTTACACCACTTTTCGGATATACTGTTGTACAGTATTCCCGAAGTTTCTCCTTCACTGCTGTTAATATTTTAGTGAGGAGTAAAGAAATAGGCTTTTTACTAAAAAGAACGTCAACTGGAACCCCCTATGTATCTTTATTTGTAAGGATTTTATGGAGTTTTGGAATCCAGTATAGGTATGGTAACTAATTCAAATTCATTTTGATTGTTGGGAATATTAAAAATATTTAAAACTGACATATGGTTTTAAGGAATTTTCTCCTTACATTAATTGATTAATTGTTATCACCATATACCGGCGAAGGGCTTCAAATTTAGACCATTAATCGGCACTCAGGGCCATTGAGCAGTGAGAGTTCTTTATCGTGTCAACTCCTACCGTGACATGAGGCCTCGGTTTTTAAGGTCTCATCCGAAGGACACGCAATTTTCACTTCAAAGTGCCGAGCGCTTGGCGAAGGAACAGTTGCTACCTATTTTTTTATCGACTTAGGTCAGTCGCGGCCGTGATTCGAACACATGACCTTCCGATCACGGAGCGCTCTACCGACTGAGCTACCGTGACGGTTCATCTTTAGAAAGGGAGCTATTGGTATAAGTTGGATAACCACTTGTAAAATTAAATCCTAGTTCCTCTAAAATACAATTCAAATAATGTGCCTTACAAGCAAAGACAATGCTGTCACCTGCTTCGTCAGTGGGGACCAGTATCGTGTAACCTATCTAATTCTTGTTTCACTTCTGAATTATTGAACACAGAAGGATAAATGGTTTTCATATTGGCCCTAAATCGCTTAATGCGGATTTCAACATCTGATACATTTAATCTACTCTGACAAAGTGTCAAGGTCTCCTTTTTCATTTTAGCCCATCGTCTGGCGTAATCTTCTACTGAATTCATAATATTTATGAAATTATGACGCCAGTTGAAAGATCGGGGTTCCCTAAACTTTGGACCTCTTATAATAAATGATTTAAGGTCTTCATATTTATGTCACCAGTAATGACGTGTCCAGTAGGACTATAGTTTTAGGGTGAAGAAAAACATGAGCACGTTGGGGGATTGTGTTTCAGATGCTCGATATATACCATCTATCGCCGCAGGAAAAAAAAGTGCCGACATCGTTATGACATTTCTTTTCGACACTCATTTTGAATCTGATGATACATAAGATTTACGCAAAAAAGATTTTTTTTTTTTTTATTCTTCAATCACACAAATTATAAATACAAACAGTCACAGTTATATAAAGAAAAAAAAATGTGTGAAAGAATTTTATTTTTTTTGGGGGGGGGGGATTAAGAAAAGATAGAAAAGAAGAGGGGGAAAGATGGAGAGGGAAGAGGGATGAGAAAGGAGGGGCACCGAACAAAATAGTGCCCGTAGTAAAGAAAGAGAAGGAGAGAAATGAATACAAAAAAGAAAAAAAATGTTGCATATTTACACAAACAAAAGGCTAAAGCTAACGCCAGCCGATTGAACATATCTCCTAATGGAGAAAAGGAATAAGTCAATCTGTATTTACCTCAAAAAAGCAATGGTAATTCCCAAAACAATTAATATCGGAAACGAATATTGCCGAGTAAAACATGAGTATGTATGGTTAACGTATGTTTTTCCGGAAAATTAATAAATGCAATAGTCTTAAAAAATAATCTTAGAAGAAGAAGAAAAAAAAGAGAGATAAGGAAGGAAAAATAGAAATTTAACTTTTACAAATTGTACAAGATTTCTATTTACTGTTTTTTTTTTTCAATGTAAAATATTTAGTAAGTGTGTCTAACCGCTTTTTTGACAAGTTCACTCATAATTTCAAAGCGACGGGGTCCCAAATGCCTGCCATGCCAACCGTATCACTCTTATTAACATCAACTTCTTCTAGTTCCTCAATTTCTTCTCTGTCGAGCATCAGGAGGTCCTCGGCTCTTGGTGGTAGAACCTTATCCCGGTACACAGATCCATTCGGGAATACGAGCTTGTTCCCCACAATCTTTGTTTTCACATTTTCCTCTCTATACTTAGCATTCATCTCTTGCAGTTTCTTTTTATTTTCATTAATTTGCAGAGGAGTCTGCGGTGTGATATAAAACGGCATGTTGTCAGTGGTGCCATCTTCTCTCTTTTGGCTCATCGCTTGGAGAATAAGATCTTTGTCACTATAATTATGTAATTTCCCCGTAATTGACCTAGGCCTAGAGTTTCCCGTTGATCTCTGACCATTTCTGTGAATCCTGATAAAGCTAACATCCAAATTTAAATGCTCTTTGATCAGCTCACTCACTTTTGTACTTAGATCTTCCTGCTCTTCCTCAGCTAAATTATGCACAAGGATATTGTCCCTCATGGATCTACCTCTAAGGTCCACTATTTCATTCTCCTGGTGGCTGACCCTTCTATCTAGATTGATTACGATAGATTTTAAGACCTCGAGTTCTTTTCGCAAATAATTATTTTCCAATCTCAAAGTTTCAATTTCTCCAACATTATCCTCGTGCTGTTGGCCAATGTATTTAATACGATCGTCTAGGCTATCTTCATCCCATAGATCTCTGTTCATGTTATTTACAGATTATTGCAAAATGTTTATACTGTCCAATTTACCGGTAATTGTCCGAGGGCTATCGTGGATACCGGATATCTGAAATGACGCCCCACTGACTTCTGACGAGAGGGTAGGATTACTGCGTGAACTGTTCTCATCCTTGCTGTTTTGAAATGGCATTATTTCTTTAAATGTTTAACTTCCAAATCACACACAAAAACTTCAAAATTACCACAGAACTGTGCTTTAAGCAGAAAATAAACACCTCTGCAAAGTTAAGGGAATCACAGATTTGTCTTTCCAGCACAAATTGACTTAAACCCTCCTCGAAATTAGACCGTGACCACACTGGCCATTAGTCACGTGATTTAATTACTCACGCAAAAAAGAATTAATTTAGAAATGACATTAGGAAAAGTTCAAAAGATTTAATGCTCAAACTCAAAACAAGACGGTTTATAGGAAAATGGCAGTAAAGATTATTAAACAGAAGCACGTGAGATATGCGGCTGATCTGAAAATGAGTAAAAGTAACGTTGTAAAGATATCGGCAACATTCTTGCCGTGTGGCGATAGATAAAACCTTATGCTGTGTTTATCTTAAAATTTTAAAAAGTTTTATATATAATCGAATAAAATTTTTCAGCAAAAATCAAAAGAAATAAGGGTATAAGTATGTCGATCGATCGAGAGAGAGAGAGAGGGGCTAATACTCCTATTCTTTTGTGATCGAGAAAAGGAAAATCTTTTAAGAAGTAATGACCCTCTGCTCTAAACTTCACATTTTGTTAACTTCCCAACATTAATTTTTATCAACAAATACAAAGGTGTGCGTACTTTACAGAAATGAATTTTATGTTTGACAGGTGCTTGCTTAAAAAATATATCCTTCAGCAAAACTGACCAGTATCTTTTTTAAAATATTATTTCTTTGAGGAATAAAAAACATGCACTACTAAAAGATTTTTTATACGGTGCATGATCCATTACTGCAGTTTAAAAAACTGTTTTTAAAGAGATAGAACACTATCAATTTATGAGAGTTAAGGAGGTTGGATCCTGCCATCAAAAGTAATGAGAATGTTTTACCAAGTATATTTTTAGAATTTATACACATAGCTTAATTAAGAATCAAAACAAAAATTGGGGGTCAATGCGCTTCTTTTGGCGGTACAGAGCATTTAGTTTGACCTTTTTGCACTGTAAATACGTCTTACACATAAATCAATTTGTAAAGTTTTTCCTCCAATAATTTTTATTCAAATAAATTATGGGAACAAACACAGTCCTATTTCATCTTGAATAGACACATTAAAATTTGTGACAATGAAAAAAAATTTGAAATTACTCCGCATGTTCAATTATTTGACCTTTTTGCACTAAAAAAATTTATTTTCCTGGATTTAGAACTTTAACACCAAAAAAATCATTTGAAAGTAATGACATTTTACTGAAATTAAGAAGAATGGTTCAAAGTATCTTATGTATTCAGAAAAGAAAATAAAAAGTGGGGGTCTGTGATGTTAATTTTTAGATATTACTAAAATAGTGCTAATTTTAAGCATATTTGCTATATTTATCAAATATGATGATAGAATTCATGACAGTTTATCTAATATATAATTTAGGACCAGTATAAAACAGTTCACTGCACAAAATAACTCTTTGTGTAGACTGTATGTAAAAATAGGAATCCAAACTTAACATACTTTAAATACTTCGAAAGAGAAAAAATTATCATTTTCTTCTTAAAAAAAACCTTCCGCCACAAAATATAGTTCCTCACTTAATGCTTTTGGTATGGAATTTAATCATGGAGTTTTAACTGAATATAGTTTAATTGGCATTGTAGAATCCAATTTTATTGCAAGAATTAAAACATTATGCAGAATTTTTAAAATATAGGTTAAGATATAAATCTGCTCAAAAGCTCAGGAGCGAACCTCGTTAAAACTTGCTGATGTTTTAGGACAAATGTTATCAATAATTATAAAAAATATTGACAGAGGAAAGAATTAACAGATTATTTAAAGGCATCTTTTAATAAACTCGGGTAAGACAAACTAATGGACATATAAGGATCGTTCTCTGTCTTATTTGACAGTCGACTCCTCTATAGATTGTCTGCAGAAATAGCATGTAGGTGCCCATATCCAATATTTAAAAAATGAACAATTTGTTTGATGTCTTCAGATTATCTTGCACATCCTAGGTTTTTTCCCCCTTTTTTAACATCTTTACATTAAATCGATCTTATCATATGTCGACACGATGTATCCTTGTGAGCTTGAAGTAAAAGATACCACGGATTCTGACACATCTGTTTCATATTTGGATATTTAACTAGAAAAAGACGTGACCTACATACTGACGTCATTTTCACATTGTAAAGTCACAAACACGGAGCAAATCATTATTTAATGTCTGCTATTTATAGAACATGTGTATGACTATATGTGTGCCAAATTTCATTCTGATCTGTGGCTTTTTAAATATAGAGATAGTTCGCGAACTTTTTGATCACCCCTCGTACTTCATTATAATGACGTCCGTTGAAGTTTTCTTTACAAATGTGTTTAGGGAGGTTGTTTTTCATGGTCTAAGATATGTTAGAAATAACAAGCATGTAAAGATCTATTTGTGCAGTTAGGTACATGTAGCGCTGAATTTAAGTTGCTATACATAATAATTTCATTAAATAAAGTATAAATTATAACTGACAATCTCTCATAAAAATTGCTTGATTTAGTAAAATGCCATGTGAAAGTTGAAATAATGGAAAATTCTTAAGTCCAAGAATCCACTTGGGAGATTACGGTATTTAATAGATAATGCAATTTGTCGTAAGTGGGATATCTACTATTACCTAAATTAATTTTTCATAGGCACCATGATGACATTTACAATTACCTACTAAACATATTCTCGCTAAGAGATTATCATTCGCAGATTTTTCACTTTCATGATGTACCTTTATTTATTATTAAATCAGTAGCCATTGGGAATGTTCATGAATCTAAGATCCTTCTTAAGACATGTTCAGGTAATCGTGTTTATGTATAATCAGACATCGGTGGAGGGAGCGGGTGATCAAAAACAAATTGTATTTGACAACACATATACGTGAAGAAAAGGAGAATTGACAAGCACGAGAAAAGAGAAAGGACCCCCCCCCCCCTGAAAATTAATCAAAAAATCGAAAAACTATCTATTTCGAGGGTGAGGGGTGCGTCAGGTTCCAACTTTTTTTATTATTGTGACAAAATTTTCGATGATACATTCACAGTATACCTTCGACGTACCTTTATTTGGCCCCAGTCTTTGGCAGCCCCTTTTTTCAGCTCTTCAAAGTTTTTTATTTAAATTTTTCGGATTTCCAACGTTTCGGCATGAGCATCACTGAAGAGACATAATTTGTCGAAATGCGCATCTGGTGCATCAAATTGGTACCGCATAAGATTTACACTGTATTACATATTACATTTTTAAAGATTTTTAAGTTAGGATGCCTTCAGGAAATTATCTTGGAATAGAGATGTGTTTTACGAGTAATCTGAGACATTCTTAGTCTTAAGATACAACGTGTAGCTACATGAACATGCCCATATGTTACTGGTACATGAGGAACGTAATATATACAAGTTTACACACATATTAACACAAATCACAGGTGAAGGTCAAAATAAACAAAAAAGTAAACACACAATCAGTAATAAAAGTTTCAGGAAGAACAGACAGCTTTGAAATCTTATAAAATGAATGACGAGGATTTTACTATTTCTACATTGCAATTGTTTGTGTTCATTACGCAGCACAGTTAAGACTATATAAAGGAGGCGGGGCCTAATTTTTACGGGAATATTACCTATGACATCACACAAAATTATCAATCCTTAGAAATACCAAAAAATGAAGTGAATTGCGATTTTAATCTGTAGTAAAAAAATAAAACTACTAGTACATAAAACTTATTATAACATGCGTTTTTTGTCGTTAGTTAGATCCCACATAGCATGGTTTAAACAAGTCACTGATCGCACTGCACTTGTCGATATGATGTCATTCCGTAAAACTTGACGCAGTTTGTATGCAGTGTATCAAGTAATATTTTCACAACAAAGAGATGTATTTTATAATTAAATAAAATATTATTTGCAGATTTTTAAGAGGCCACTTATTTGAAAGCATTGTCTTTTTTATGATTTTATTCATATATTTTCCGTACATTTCCTAATTAACGGATATTGCCATATATTTGTATTCATGTACATTGGAGGATAATCTAAGGGTCGTAATAATTCGATCTAGTGCAAGGGCATATCCTCAATTGATCATTACAAGTTTTTAATCATAAACTCTAGAAGTATTAAGCTATTTGAAAAGTGCTGCGATCCTGTTGAAATCTTGAAACTGAATTAATTATTCCTATATTTAGTGAAGCTGACAAGCAAAAAATTCAGTATGCGCTCATACAAAAATGATTTTAACAATGGAATAGTAGAATCTATATAGGATCGCAGCACTTTTCACAAACTCCAAAGAGTGTTGAAAATAATTATGAATTAAACATAAATTTTTAATTTGGTTATCCCCTGACTATTGAAATTTATAGGTGACCTCAATACTGCAAGTATCTGTGCTAAAATCACGTGACTGTCACATCACGTGACAAGTCTAGATAGAAAATCTATTCGTCCTCAATATGTAGTTAATAGCCATAATTACATTTGTTCGATATTAGTAAAGTACTAAAAAGAATCGCCATCCTGGAAAAGAATATATTTTGTATCATAAAAAATTGCCGATATTTCCATTGCGCACCTTAACTGTACTGCGTAGTTCAAACTTCAGGATGTTGAGATTTCTACAAAACTTTTGCCTGTTGGTTAAGGACTAAGCACATTCATAAACATAATGAAATTCATCCCAAAACTATAACAATTACTCATGGTACAAATTTTCTTCCAGCTTCAAAAGCTCCGTTCCCTCTCAACACTTATTACGTGAAGTAAAGA